ATTCTTATGTTATTTTTATCTTCTAGCTTTTCAATGCTCTTTTATTGTTTTATCTTTTATCTTTCTGATATTCTTGTGTATTGTTATCTTATTTATATTTATCTTTGTTTTATTCATTTTATCTTACTTTTTTTCTCTCCTTTCTTGTCCATCTTCTCTGTTTGGCATCGATATCATAGATCGATTCATGTTAGTCGACCCCAAATTCTTTTGGAATTAAGGCTTGGATGTTGTTTTTGTTGTTGTAGCAAAAAAACAGAAAAGAAATGGAACAGAAAATAGTCAAAGCTTGTGCAACGTACAATGTCCTTAAAACGTATTCGTTGCCTCCCACGGTGCTAGGAGCGTTGCAATGACCGTTCCCAAGTTATTGTCTGTTTAAGGTGCATTAAAGGAGAAGAACGTTGAGCAATAACTGTTGTAACGTTTCAGAAGTGAATCAGAAGAGTCATATCAGAAGCGTCCTGATCTGAAGACTTCTGATGCGGAACAAAAGGGTTCTGGTCCGAGCAGTTCTGATGCGGAAAAAAATGAACGTTATGGGAAGAAACAAAAATTAAATCATATCTTTGAAAGATAGAGTTTTGGATGACATTCATGTCCGCAGGTCGCCCGCACATGCAAGTCGCGGTATTTCTTCTTCATTTTCTGGATTTGATCGGCACCCGTCCTGCACGTGTAGATAACCTTTCTACCTAAGAATCTTAACTTCTTTAAAGAGGGTTCCCTTTATAAGGGGGTGAAAATCCATTTAATTTTCCGGTGTGGGACAAATCACACTAGAATCCCATCATTTTTCTAGTTTTCTCCATTCCAACGAGTGAACTTCGAGAATAAATTTCTCATTCACCCATTATCCGTTTTGAGTGTACCATATATCGAATTGTAGCCCTTAACAAAGAGAATCCAAACCACTTTGACCCGACCCAAATCGGAAGTGAACCACACTCAAAATATTGCCCAAATATGACCATTTAATGCAAAATTTTAACACTATTTTCCACCAACTGTTGCTAGTACGAATTATTTTTATGAACTCTCAGTAAGGATTCTTATTGTGTAATCCATAAAAGTATGAATTATCCTAATTTGACCTGATCTGTTATGACATTACTACGTTATTTAAGTTTCACCTAGTTCATCGTACACATGTGTTTTATTATTGTCTAAGTTTAACATAACTTGATCTGTATATGTCTAGCTAGTCTGGTCCAAACAAATCCGATCATAAACATTCTAAAATTGTTTTTATGCTTTTTTATTACTCCATTTCTTTTGACCCGTGATTGATAGTAAGAAACTATGATCCACAAGCAAAGACTTGGTATATCATTTGACCATTTAGTAGTACAGCGTATAGTAGACATTATTTGTTTCGCATCATTGGATCAAATAGACAGCGTTTGGATCCACACGAGTGAACATTGCCGGCTAAAGATGAAATCGCTCGTGTGACCGAACACTCATAAATCAATGGATCCATCGAATTGGTCGCCCGAACCTTCGCATTCATATGATAAACACAGCGCACCTATGCTGGATCGACCACGTGAACTTCATTTCACAACTCTTGAGATCCATAAGTTATTAATTACTTTGATAATAATTTGATAAATATGATGAATTCATGATTCGAGGGTAGGAAATAATAAAAACACAAATAAATGCAAAAACAAGAAAACATTCAACAAACATAATTACACGTCTTTGGTTGCTTTGTCTATGGGTCATCACAAGTAATCATAATGTGCAAATGTGAAATTAAAATCCGACAAAAAGAATCCTCAGTGTTTTACTACGTTTTTAATCCCAAGACAAGAATCTTACTGCATGCTTTAACTCAAGTTCGTAAGATACAACGACGTTTGGAAACAGTTGGCGTCCAAATAAAGATTATTTTGAAAAATTTTAGCACAAAATATTTTATACTACGAGAAATATTTAAGACATATTTCATGGTTATAAAAAGAAAATATAATTACTTTAAAATGAACTCCATATTTCATGGTTGGCCTTATCTCACTTCCTTTTCTTTTTTACGTGGTATGCGTCATCAGAAAGAATGACACCACATTCTCCGGGCCTTCAACACCGATCGAAAAGTTAACTGATAAATAGAGAGTGAAGTTCTGGTCCAAATATTTGTAGAGATCTTATTCATTTTACATAATAATAATTTTTCGCAATTTCAAAATTTGGTCTTTATGGAAGTTCTATCTATGAGTTGAGGTATGCTTACCGGCGGCTATGTGCCATTTAGAGAGGCTAGGATCTGAGAGAAGTCAAATCTGATCTAGCATTTGTAATAAACTAATAATGGTATTAACTATTAAGCAGTTTAGGATTAAGGTTGTTTCTTTTACTCGAGAATAAGTTAATAGATAACGCGTTTTTATCTAAACATCCTTGTTTACTTTGTCAAACTTGGTTCTTTAGTAGGCCACGTCACCGATTGCATCTATTCCAATCACTTTTATCTTAAATCAAAATAGGCCACTTCGTGTTGTGCTGTGTAATAAAACAAGATTATCACTAAATGCCCTATTCCCATAAATCTTCATAGCTCGTGATATGTTGTGTAATACAGGTCAGGTGGGAGAAGGTCGTGATTGTATGATTGAATTACAGAGGGCCGGCGGAGCATGGTTTATCGAATCGTGATTTAATTTTTGAGGACATTCTATGCTTTTAAACCGAAAGCCGAATTTTTGTGTTAGCTTTGAAAGCGTTCTACACTAGAGAGAGGTTTAGTTCGCGGCTACAGTCACAGTTACATTAGTAGTACATTTGAATTAAACACGCAAGCTGCTTAAAAAGTTGCTTACTAAACGAAAGAGGTGCTTAAAGTGGCGCTTACTAAGTATACCATCCTCATGTATTAATTAAGCGGCATTTTAAGCTTTTTCAGTTTTCGAATGTAACCTTACCCTTACTACTTGCGCTTACCCTATTGTTACCTTCTACCCCACCTCGCCCCTACCCTTAACTCTACCTTATCCTGACCCACTCGACCCCACCCCGACCGGCGACCCCAATACCCCTAACCCCTAGCCCTTACCAACCCACCCTAACCTCGACCATACCTCTTTACCACGCCCTATCCCACACTTGTACCCCTTACCTCGACCCACCCTTTTACCCCCTACCACCTGCCCCAACCTCGACCATACCTTGACTCCCCCTCGATCTGACCCCACCTCTCCCCCTTACCTCGCCCCTTACCCCCTATCACTTGCCTCCACTCCACCCCCTATCCTAGCCGTCACCACCCCTACCCCAGACCAGACCATATCCCGGACCCTACCACCTGCCCCTACTTCGACCCCATCCTGACCCCGACCCCACCCCTCCCCTTACCTCGCCTTTTACTCCCTACCACCTGCCCCCACCCCACCCCCCTATCCTAGCCGTTACCACCCCTACCCCAGACCAGACCATACCCCGAACCCTACCACCTGCCCCTACCTCGACCCCACCCTGACCCTACCCCCGACCCCTAACCCCACCCTGAACCTACTCCCCCTTTACCCCCTACCTCAACCCTACACCGACCCCCCGTACCCCTACCCCCAGGTAGGGTAAGGTGTGTAGGGTATGGGTAGGGGCGGTGGGCGATGTTACCCCCACATATTATATTATATACTTGTGTTCATGTATGATTCTGTGTCTATATATGTATAGGGTTATTTTAGATATTTTAATCTTAAACGGTGTTTTAAATGCTTTGAAGTAAACATAAGCTTACAACACTGCTTGTTTTATGCGCCGCTTTTTAACGCGAGTCTTAATAATCACCGTTTAGTAACCCGTGAAGTAAACGTGTACTAGATCCGGTTATTATACAGTTCTTCAATGTATTGTAATCCAATTGGTTAACCATATGATTAATAAAGAATTGTATTTTATCATGAAAAAGATATTGTAGTAATAAATGTGAGAAAAACTAAAAGGTGAACAAACAAATTATTTAACATTTGAATTCCTATTGGGTAATGGTGTCTCTTTAGAGAGCAGTTTTATGAACGTAACATTGACTATAAGTTTTAATTGGAGCTAATTTGATGAATGTAACATTGATTACAAAACACATAACTTTTGATTTCATGTGCTGAATTTCTTAATAATCAAAATAAGTAAAGTTGAAGTTATGTTTTTTAGCTGAATCAGTTGAAGTTACTGTAGATGACCACTTTAGCTATTTTTTATATAATTTTATTTTATTTTATTGATCAATCAAGTTTTAAATTTATTTATTTCATAACTTCGACCAATCAAGTCACTTCGACCACAACTTCACCAAATTTAACAAAATCATCATATTCATCAAATTCCCGTACGACTTTAATTATAAACTCCAAGTAAAGTAGGATCAATCTAGACAAGTGGGTATACACAATTGTATACTTGTACAACTTCCCGTCACATAGTTGTACTCTTCTTCAATGAGAAAATATATTGAAAACTCCAATGTGTTCACCACAGAACACATTGACATGATAAATAGTCATAATTTATACATCTAATTTTTTTTGGAGAATCTTGTCATTTGATATGCTCTATATGTATTCTCGTTCTTTAATCCTTTTTTGCATTCCCCTTTTTTGTATGCTCTATATGTATTCTTTGTTAATGTTTGACATTTGGTAAGAATAGATCCCATTTTTGAGCGCTCCTCAGCATCGTTTAGACAATTAACTGCGAGAATGTAAATTTGACATTAATCAGATAGCAAATGTGGCTATGACATAAGTTCTTGCAAAACCTTTATACATTTTTACACAGCAATCTTTCGTTGCAGTTGATAAGATTCGAACTCAAAACTTTTCAGATATGAGACTCTCTACGTTTACATCGAGCTTCGCCATCGGTTGGCAATTGGCAAGAAGACACGAGGGAGACAAGGTGGGGTATGCGGTGGGAGTAAAATCCATCTTTAAAGTCTCCTACACCTTATTTACTTCATAGACACCCTTTTCTGACATGTCCCTCTCATTGCCACTCTTTACCCGACCCAACTTCCCTCTCACTTTTCATTCCCTCTCACTATTTATATATACCCACACCCCCACACCCAAATCAAACACACATATCCGACTCCCACTTAACACACTCATCGCCCATCTATCAGTCTTGCTTGCTTCCAAAATGGAACTCGAGCTCGGCCTTGCTCCTGCGGCGGTGACGGCGGCGACCCATTTCGTTGACCGGATCAAAGGTTTCGATTTGAACGATAATAATGCGTTCGAGGTAAAGGGTGACTGCCCGTTGACCAAGAAACGGCGGTTTGACGAGGCGATTGAGGATTGCGGGCGGGGCGGATTAAAAACGCTTATGTTGCTTCAATGGGGTGGGAAGCCAGATGATGATGATGATGATCCAAATGAGGCTCAGACCAAATGTCGTGTTTATCAAGGGTATTTACCACGTTAATTAATTAATATCCTTCAATTTTTTTCTTCACTTGAAAATTTCGACTAAATTACTAAGTATATAAATGATTAAATTTGTCCTGTTTTTTCGAATTTAGGATCATATATTGTGTTTTTGTTGGTTCGGTTCATTTTGATGTCGGTTCTGTTTTGAGTTTGAGACATTGAGTTAAGGTTTGTCAAAATTGAACGATGATGCCCAACTGTTTTGGAGGCAAAAAGAAAAGTAAATACAAATGATCTGCATCCAAGAAACCTCTGTAAACTTTACTGACATTTTGAAACCTTTTACGGTTTATTAGATTTTGGGTATATTTTTGTTTATATACACATTCCTTTTATAATACTCCGTGTGTCATACGGTCAATTTTTGGTACACTTGCTCTATTTATATCAAAGTGAGAACAAAGTTAAGCTCACATTCTCTCCGAAAATTGTCCATTCTGTTACGAGAAGTCTCAAAGATGGAGTGTCATCGTTTTCTATGTACTCCCAAATCTACTAGTACTCTCGTATATGATTTTTAATACTACATCCGTCCCATAAAACTTGGCCAACTTTCTTTTTTTGGACGTCTCAAAAAACTTTGTCATTTCCATTTAAAGTAACAAATATGTGGTTAAAGTTATTTCTTTCTCCTCTGCACAAATATCAACCACACAGTTTTTACTTTATTAATCTACGTGCAAGTCAACATTGACCAAGTTTTATGGGACGGAGGGAGTATGTTAAAGAGTTGGATTACAATAAAGAGTGACTTTCATATATAAGTCAAATTGTTATCAATAATTTTTATTTATCCAACACTTTAGAAAATTTCATTGAACCAACACATGTATATATGTGATGATATGTTGCTAATACATTAGAAAATTTCATTGAATCCTCTTAATCGTTGCTTTATACATCTAACTTCTTATCAATTTGAATTCTTTTTATGGCTATACAGACTTTTAATGTACTTTTTGAATATGTAGAATTGAATTATTAATAATAATATATATTGACATCAATAATTAACTTTATTATCAGTCAGATATAAATGGAGACTTTACTACTAATAAGAAATAGACACTTATTCATGGGACGGATGGAGTATATGAATAATTTCACAACCACGTGAAAATCTTCAAATTGTGTATAAAAATGGGATGTAATTTAGTCATTAACAAGGTACACGCTTAACAAAGTTATAATAAACGCCTTATTATATACTTTAGGAATCATGTGACATTGTGTATTAAGTCTTGTTTATATTATAAACTTATACTCTTTAAATATATAATAATATTGGGAGATGGATGATGGCAGGAACCTAGACGAAGAAAGCATAATAGTGGGGTGGCCACCTATAAGAACATGGAGAAAGAGGGTGTTGCACGAGCATCAAGGGGGTGGGTGGGTGTTTGTAGCCAATAATGGAGGAGGAGGAGGAGGAGAAATTGTGGTTGATAATGGTAGGGTTAATAATGGTGGTGAAAGGAACTCCACATTTGTGAAGGTGAAGATGGAGGGTGTAGCCATTGGGAGAAAAGTTAATCTAAGTCTTTATAACTCATATCAAATTCTATCCAACGACCTCATCAATATGTTTGCAAGATGTAAGTCCCATCCATCTATCATCTCTTTTCATTCATATTAATCCAAAGATTTGTAAAATCATTTTAGCATCATATAAAAGAGTCATTTTATCATTTTTGATATATATATTTGTGTAGACGAATTGCATGTATACATATGCAAAATAGGAGAAGGTACAAAAAAGGTGTATAAAAAGTTGTAAAAATTAAAATTTTGATATAAGAATAGAAAGTTGTGATGGAAAAACTTTTTATATACAGATGAGTTGGTGTTCTAAGGGCGCTTACGAGGAGTAAGGTGGGTGATATGAAAAAGTGAAATACAAGTATAACTGTTAGGTGTGAAAAGAATAATTACTTGGATCGTTTTCACTCCAACATCAGGGTCTTATAAATGAGAAGTGGTAGTGCTATCACCATTGCATCAAATAAATAACCAATATTTCATCCATTACATTTTTATGTCACCTTTTTATTTGTTTTATAATTATGTTTAATTTCTTCTTTTGATCTCTTTTAATTCTTTTCCCTAGTTTACCATTTCAGAAATTTGAAGTTACCTGGTAACCATATTTAAAGGCAAAAATGAAGTCTTCATTGACAAGTTTTCATAGTATGATAGCATGATGATTGTGTGCTGAAAGTAACATTTGCGCTAGCTTAGTCATACTCCCTCCGTTTTTTTAGTTGCAACAGTCAACATTTCACATTTGCCAACGCACATCTTTGACCATAATTATATCTTAATTCTACTAGTAAAAAAATATTAAAAATCTGATTTTGAATATTTGTTTTGAGATGAATTGAACAATATTTTTTAAAAAAGATAATTTTCATAAAATAATAGCGTAAAATGTAGTCAAAGTAGAATATGTGAATATTGTAAAATTCAACATGTTGCGATTAAAACGATTAAAACGGAACGCAGGATAGTATATGAGTTTTTTATAAATTGGTAAAAGCTCATGAAGTTTAATTTAGAAATTAATGAAACGAAGTATACTTATATACTCCTATTTATAAACTCACGAGTATATTTCAATTATTTCTAATTTATCTATGCATATACATTTGGTTTTATAACAGATCGGGATTGTGAAGAAAACGGTAGGGGCTATACCCTCTTGTATCAACACAAAGAAGGGGACTGGTTGGTGGCCGGAGATGTTCCATGGATGTAAGCATTTAATTTTCTAAATTTATTAATTACAAGTTAAAATTTAGTTCAATTTAATATTACACACAAAAATAAATTCAAGCAGAACATATTGTAAAACTGCTTTTTGACTTTCAGGACATTTGTGGGGTCCGTACGAAGGATAGAGATACTCAAGAATAGAAATTGAGGGCGGAAGTAATGATTGATAGGCTGTATTTTGTCCTTAAATATTGTTACTTTTCAAACCCCTACGGGCATATTAATTAATGTTGTATTAAAGCCTATGAAAACGCAAGTGTAACTTGATAGCTAGCTATATGCCTCACTAATATTATATTCATTCGATCTTTATTAAAGGCAAAATTTCAAATTTGGCATTATTTACGTACTTCGCTTGAAATTTTTTTTTAGCTGTAGCTATATTATATTGCTTTCGTCTCATTTAAATCTTTACAGTTTATTTTTGGGACATCTCATTTACTTCTTTACGTTTCCTTTTTTAGCAATTTATTTTACATGATTTGCCATAACTACCTTTCACACCACCCACCCACATTTACAATTAATTAGATACCATTAATTACCCTCCCATTACCCAGCTGGTCCGTCTTGTATACTCCGTACTTATCCCCAAACCCCCCATACGAAGAACCCAGTCTCTAGCAATAAACTTCATACTCTCCATTTGTTCATCTTCTGTCAGGAATTTAATCAGTTTATCTCTTCAATTCCTCCTAATTATCGATCATTGGAGTTTGTTCATCTGATCAAAAAAAGTGTAATTTTTAATCGATCTACCTATATGTGGTGATCTTTGCATTCATGTGATAAGGGTTTTAGTGTTGTTGTTTTTTGTTAAATAGCTATGACATATCCCAATTCAGGCATGGATCTTGAAGATCTCGAACAGACCATTGGTGGAGATTCCTTTGAATGTTGTGTCCCTTCTCTTCCTGTGCAAGAGGTTGTTGATAGCTCTTGCCAGATTTGCTTCATAAGTAAGATACCCCTAAAGTATTTTTAACTACACTGTTAACTTCCGTCAGAAAAATATTTTCAAATCTTCTCCTAAATTTCTGTTATTCTCAACCTTGTAGGTACAACTAAGTTTGTTCCATTTAGTGGAATACTACCCTGCCTATATGAGGGGGCTATGAGACATCCTTTAATTAATTTGCTTTATGTTTTGGATGAAATCCATATCCGTGCGAGAGGGACAGGAACAAATATCATGTTTATACTCATTCTTATACCCACTTTTATACCTATGTTTGTGAAGCCCTTTTTATGCCTGTGAGTTTCGTTCACAGACAACATGTCACGCCCCGGATCGCATCCGAGCCACGTAGACAACCGCCGTACAACCCGATAAGAACAACAACAGTTCATTCCTATTGAGTTGTACAAGGCGTCCGATTGATTCTATTGCCAAACCGATTAGTAAACACATACAATCAACATCAATATCATAATAAAACAAATGCGGAAATAATAAAATGTTTGATACTTAGCCACACGTGGCAAACACGGGCACGCAGGCCCCCAACTGTTTTAATGAAAATATTGTTCAAAAATCCATGAGCGGTTTATACATTTGAAATAAGAATGGAAGCACGAACCACGTCTTCCTTCTCGATCAGTCACCCTAGGCAAAGGTGCAGGTAGTAGGACTCTAGCCTCAACCTGAAAAATGTGAGGGCCCCCGGAGGGGTCAGTACTCCATAGAAGTACTAGTGACAAGCAGACTATATGAAGAATAACTAATGTTTCAGACACGAGACCCAAAAATAGGGTGATACATATATATATGACTCATTCATCCGATGATACATACTGTATATATATATGTAAAATACTCGACCCGTAGGTCATTTCATTCAAAGAGTCTTTTAGAGATAAAGTTCTTACCTGACCTTTCTCACCCTTTTCCCGAATGCCTAGCTCACCAGCTACATTCTACATTCATAATATCCTACCGAGTTTTGGGAGCATTTAGCATCCCGGGGATGCTCAACCCCAACCGAGTTTCAGGATCATTAAATGTTCCGGGGATGCTCAACCCCAACCGAGTTTCAGGATCATTTGTAGTCCCGGGGATGCTCAACCCCAACCGAGTTTCAGGATCATGTATGGTCCCGGGGATGCTCAACCCCAACCGAGTTTCAGAATCATTTAATGTCCCGGGGATGCTCAACCCCAACCGAGTTTCAGGATCATTTATAGTCCCGGGGATGCTCAACCCCAACCGAGTTTCAGGATCATCTAATGTCCCGGGGATACTCAACCCCAAACTAAATCCTTACCAAACCCTAACCTGGATATGGCTAACCTTTCGTTCCTTCAACTATGGACAATACCTAGCCCTATAGTCATATAACCATCCTTAGGAACCAATGTGGGCGGGTCCCACCTGAACGGCCCACATTAACCCGCTCAAAACTGCCCGTTTTGAGCATAAACCAATACTCGATCGAGTATCTACCCATACTCGGTCGAGTACAGGAGGCGGTAGCCCCCAAAGCTAATTTTCCATGTATACTCGATCGAGTATCTACCTATACTCGATCGGGTATAGGAGACAGTAGCCCCCTGGGCAATTTTTCAGCAAATACCCGGTCGGGTATGTGTCAATACCCGGTCGGGTATGGCAGTTGACTTGGCGGTCAACGCCCCTTTTTACCCCCCAAACGGAGTCCGATTAACTTGAAATTTTATACACATATACTTCTTGATGTCCTTGATCCAAAAATACCATTTTGGATCCCTGGATCATCACACAAAGTATGTTATCGCATTTTTAATCACCAAACCTACATAACATGCTTTTCAACTATGTTTTATGCAAAATCATGGCATAAGCAAATACTTGATTATCTTTAATCATTCCACAAAACATATCCTTGATTACTTTAGGTAATCTCATGCCTCACGCAAAATTTATAAAGCATAAAGCCGTCTTCTCACCTTAATGAAGCTTATGAAGTTCTAGCCTCCCCGATTTAGCTCCGGCGAAACTCCGGCGAACTTCGACGAACTCCGGCGACAACTCCGGCGACCCTTTCAACTCCGTGAAAGTTCCTTGAATACCTTATACAAGTTACTAACAAGGTTTTATCATCACAAAACCCATAGTAATACAAATAACCTCCAAAAGGTTATTTTCCGGCGAACCGGTCACTTTGGCTTCTAAGTCCATTCTTGGGCTTAGAACCACTTTCCAACCCCTCATTCTACACTTCTAAACATGTAGAAAAGTCCTAGGTTTAATCCATTTGATATGAACGTCGTATGATAAGAAAAGATTGAAGAAGAGTTTGCAAAAAGCTTCTCACCTTTATTCCCAAGGTTTTTCTCTATTTTTGCAACTCTTCCTTCTTGATTTAGCTTCTTGCTTGATTGAGCTCCCTTAAACAATGGAGATGTGGATTTGCAGAGCCTCTTCTCTTCTCCCTTGATGGATGGAGTCGCAGCATATGGGGTGTGGGGGGTGATTGAGGGTGCCATATTGGCATTTTCTCACAATCATGTTAGGAGAGGGGTCCATGTCATTTAATGATTTGGGTCTCCAATCAGCCCATGCTTGCCCCCTCCCATTATGTGCAGCATACCCTGACTTTTGACAGCCTAATTTCGTGGGATGGCCCCCACTTATGTGGGAGGTCATCCCTTTAAATCCCGTCGTGTACAATCGGTCCCGAAAGTTGTATTTTCCGGACTGTTTTAAGTATATTTTATTTTATCGGGTCAAATAAAATATAACACTTGTTCCCAATTCTTATTGGGACTTAGAATCAATATGATTCCCCAACTTTAATTTAGAAATCTCCGGACTCCCTTTTTGGGCTGTTATCAGATAAATTGCCGATACCGATAATTTGGCCCCGTTTGACCAACCGGTCAACTCTATGCCATTGCCATGGCCCAATTAGGATATCCATCACCATATCCATATTATCTAGTCCAAGATTAATATAATATGTGGTCCCGATAATATCGGGCGGCCCCACATCCGGTGTGGGCCCCACGTGAATTTTACTATTCACGTAATAGAAATGATAAAAATTTACAATCACGTAAAAATGTTTTTATACATTTCTCGAGGTTCAATACATAATTTGGTACAGTACAAATACTCGGGGGCGGTGTTACAAGTTCTACCCCCCTTATTTGGGATTTCGTCCCCGAAATCCACGCGTCTAGTCAAACAGAAATGGATACTGTTCCCTCATCAGGGTCTCCACTTCCCAAGTTTGCTCCTCGACACGATCACTCTTCCAAAGTACTTTTACCATCGGCACCTCTTTGCTCCTTAGCTTCTTTACCTTTCGGTCCATGATTTTCATCGGCTGCACCGTATAGTGTAGGTCTTCTCGGATTTCCACCGGTGGTTTCTCAAGAATATGTGACGGGTCCCGCACATACTTCTTGAGCATAGAAACATGAAATACATTGTGAATCTTTTCTAATTCTGGGGTCAACTGAAGTTGGTATGCTACAACCCCAATCCTTTCAAGGATTTTGAACGGACCTATGTAACGTGGGTTAAGCTTACCCCGACTGAGGAACCTGATGATCCCTTTCCAAGGTGATACCCTCAGAAATACCTCGTCACCAACCTCAAACTCCAACGTCCTTCGACGTTTATCAGCATAGCTCTTCTGCCGGTCTTGGGCAGCCTTGAGCCTATCCTGTATGACTTTTATCTTCTCCTTAGTGATCTCGACTAACTCGGTGCCCTCGAGCTTAGCCTCGCCGACCTCATCCCAACACAATGGTGTCCGACATTTCCTCCCATACAATGCCTCGTATGGGGGCATGCCTATACTTGCCTGATAACTGTTGTTATAGGCGAATTCTACTAAAGCCAACTGATTGTCCCAGCTCCCCTGGAACTCCAAGGCACATGCCCTTAACATGTCCTCCAAGATCTGAATCACCCGTTCAGATTGCCCATCCGTTTGAGGATGAAACGCGGTGCTAAACCTCAATTTCGTACCCATGGATTCCTGGAACTTAGGCCAAAACCGTGATGTGAACCGTGGGTCCCTATCCGATACTATAGTAACCGGAACCCCATGCAGTCTCACAATCTCATCTGTGTACAATTTGGCCAACCGCTCGAGCGTATAGGTAGTGTTGATAGGTAGGAAATGAGCGCTCTTGGTCAACCTATCGACTACCACCCATACCGCGTCGTAGTTCCTAACCGTCTGTGGTAGACCCACCACGAAGTCCATGGTAACATGCTCCCACTTCCATTCTGGAATGGTAAGTGGTTGTAGTAACCCTGCCGGGTGTTGGTGCTCTGCCTTAACCTGTTGACAAGTAAGGCAACGGCTCACGTATTCTGCAATTTCTCTCTTCATCCCCGACCACCAGTAGCTTTCCTTCAAGTCCCGGTACATCTTTGTACCGCCCGGGTGCATGGCATACGCAGATGAGTGAGCCTCCTCAAGGATAGATTTTCGGAGCTCCTCATCCGATGGTACACACACTCGTTCCTTGAATAGTAGAAGTCCATCTTCCCTCTCACGGAAACCCTCGACGGGCCCCACAAGCATCCGTTCCCGGATTTTCTGAAATTCCTCGTCATTGCCTTGACATGTTCTGATTTCATCTAATAAGGTGGGTCTCACCTCAAATCTGGCCAATAGCGCCCCACCCGTGGATACCTCCACGCGTGCCCTCAGTGCCCGTAAGCATGTGAGTAAAACCCCTGATGATGAGCTCTTCCTGCTCAGTGCATCAGCTACAACATTAGCCTTGCCTAGATGATAGTCAATGATCAAGTTGTAATCCTTAATCAACTCCATCCATCTCCTCTGTCTCATGTTCAACTCTTTCTGAGTGAACACATACTTCAAGCTCTTGTGGTCGGTGTAAATGTGACACAACTCCCCGTAGAGGTAGTGCCTCCAAATCTTCAATGCAAATACCACGGCACCTAGCTCCAGATCATGTGTGGGGTAGTTTACTTCATGCTTCCTCAACTGCCGAGAAGCATAAGCAATTACCTTCCCTGATTGCATCAGTACACATCCCAGTCCCTGAATGCTAGCATCGCTGTATATGTCATACCCTAACCCTTGCACGGGCAAGGCAAGCACTGGTGCTTCGGTCAAACGTTTCTTTAGCTCAAGAAACCCCTTCTCACACTTGTCATCCCACATAAACTTAGCCACCTTTTTAGTGAGCTTCGTGAGTGGGGATGCTATCACCGAGAACTTTTCCACGAATTTGCGGTAATACCCCGCTAAACCGAGGAAACTCCTTATCTCCTTCACGTTCTTGGGCCTCTCCCAATTAGTGACCGCCTCAATCTTGGAGTTATCAACTGAAATGCCCGAGCCCGATACCACATGCCCGAGAAAACCGATTTCCCCAAGCCAAAATTCGCATTTAGAGAATTTGGCAAAGAGTTGCTTCTCCCGCAGTGTTTCGAGCACAAGCCTTAGATGTTTTTCGTGTTCCTCTTCATTCATGGAGTATATCAAAATGTCATCAATGAACACTATGACGAACTGGTCTAAGTATTGGTGAAATACTCGGTTCATGAGGTCCATGAATGCCGCGGGGGCGTTCGTAAGCCCAAACGACATTACTAGAAACTCATAGTGACCATACCTCGTACGGAATGCACTTTTGGGTATGTCACTCTCCTTGATCTTCAGTTGATGGTAGCCTGACCTCAAGTCAATCTTAGAGAACACCGTTGCCCCCCGTAGTTGATCAAACAAGTCATCGATCCTTGGCAAAGGATATTTGTTCTTTATCGTGACCTTGTTCAACTGACGGTAGTCGATACACATTCTGAGTGTACCATCCTTCTTCTTTACAAATAGTACCGGTGCTCCCCATGGTGAATGACTCGGCCTGATGAATCCGCTGTCCAGCAGTTCTTCCAATTGCACCTTCAACTCTTGAAGTTCAGCCGGTGCCATCCGATATGGAGGAATCGAGATGGGTTTTGTACCGAGTTCTACTTCAATGGTGAACTCGATTTCTCGATCTGGTGGGAGTCCCGGGAGTTCCTCAGGGAAAACTTCTGGGTACTCACTCACCACTCTCACCTCAGTGAGACTCTTTTCCTTTCCCTCCTTGCCTATGACATAGGCCAAGTATGCTTGACACCCTTTCCTCATCATACGCCTTGCTCTTATGGCCGATATGATACAAGGGTTGAATTTCCCTCTATCTCCCTCGAAGCATAGAGTGTTCCCTTCTCCATCCTTTAGTTCTAACACCTTGGTGTAGCAATCTACCTTCGCATGGTGTTTTTCGAGCCAATCCATGCCAAGTATAGCATCAAACTCGAGCATATCTAACGGCACAAAGTCACCCGTTAGACAATGCCCCCCTATCCCTACATTACACGAGGGATAGTAGTGTTTCCGCTCTACATCATCTCCCAATGGCGTAGAGACCAGCAAAGGTTGCATCATTGCTACCAAAGGCAAGTTCAATCCCTTGGCAAACGCTTCGCTCACAAATGAACGTTGTGCCCTGGTATCGATGAGAATTCTCGCATCCCTATCGTTGATCTTTAGTGTTCCTACATATATAAGTCATGTAAGACACCCTATTCGTCATCCCGACAGAAAAGGACCGGACGAAAAAATTTCAGCCTAGAATTACCCCATACCCGGTCGGGTAGGGTCCTCTACCCGGTCGGGTATCACTCGAGTCCTTAAGGAGAAACCCCCCCTGTTTTCCTTGCTCGGTCGAGTACCAGCCTCGAATTCGGGCAAAATGTCAATACCCGGTCGGGTCTCACTCAAAATCCACAAATAAAAGCTCCCTGTCTTCTACGCTCGATCGAGTACACACTTCGAAGCTCAAAATCTACACATACCCGACCGGGTATATAGCCATACCTGATCGGGTATTGCTCGAAATGTCAAAAATAAAGCATCATGCCTCGGCTGCCCGAACGGGTGCACACTTCAAACTCGAAGCATAGCTTATACCCGGTCGGGTCTATAGGAGTACCCGATCGGGTCCTTCATATTTTTGAAGATTTTTCAACCAATTACATGATCAAATACGTGTGAAATCAAGAGATTGCCTGCAATGGAGTCCGGGTTGGCCCGAGCATCAGCCTCGGTCATTGCATACACCCGTGCTTGGGTCCTCCCTTGGTTAACGGACGCGGCGTTGCTAGCCGTGGGTCCGCTCCTTCCCGTGCCGGCCTGAGACGGCCCCGCACGTCCCCTACTAGTCGTAGGTCCTCCCATGGCTCCCGATGGTCCTCCCCCGTTCAACATTGGACAAGAGGATTTGAGGTGGCTCGTGCTACCGCATTTGAAGCACCGGGGTGGTTCATTGCACCTTCCCCCGTGGTTCTTACCGCAGTTTGCGCAGCTGGGTGGTCCCACACCCCCTGGTTTGGGCCCTTGCCCTCCTGAACCTTTGTTCCTTTTCGCCGGTGGTGCCGGCGCCCTGAATGAATTGCCACCCCCAGCGTGATGCTTCCGAGAGTGGTCTTGGGGTCCCGAGTTTCCCCATCTTCTCTTCTTC